TTTTTCCTGTAACTATGCATAAGGTGAAGAATAAGCTCGAAGTAAATTACGCTACTGTGACTCAAGATGGCTCACATAACGAGGATACTATTATATCTAAGCCTTTGGTATCTGATTAAATTTACAGGAAGTAGATAGTAATAAGGATGACAGTATACTATTGGAGGAATGGTATACTCCTGCGGGTTTTAGCTCAAATTCTGTTGATTCGTCATTAAAAAAAACGCATGAGCTATGAGGAGTTAGAAAAATCGCTATATACTACCCTCGTGTCTAAAGCTGAAATAAATGATCTTTGTGAAAAGTTGCAAATACATTATGAAAAGCTACTCGAACATATCTCCTCTAGAGATGATAGCATAAATAAAGAAAAGATAGACTAAGTAGTAGCTAATAGGCGAGTCATATTTGCTTTATTTTTCTCATCTCTTCTAGCTTCTTTTTCATATAATGTATCTAGATCCTCACTACTTATTTTTTCTATAGAGTTATTAGTAGGTGTTGAATCAGATATGTCAGAGCGGAGCTCATTATTATATAATACAAAATTAGTCTGAGATTTGGATCTTCTCTTTTTTGGTTCTGTATTGAGAGTGGTAGATTCCAGTTGTAGGTTCAGAGAATTATAATTCAAAGAATTATCTAAGGACTTGCTCTGCAATAAAACCTCACTTTCAATTCATAATCGAGAATTTATTTGTTGTCGGCATTCTCGATTTTCTATATAATCAACAACACGAGAGTGAGATATGTGATCTTCTCTTTTTAGTTTCTGTATTGAGAGTAGTAGATTCTAGTTGTAGGTTCAGAGAATTATAATTCAAAGAATTATCTAAGGACTTGCTCTGCAATAAAACCTCACTTTTAATTCGTAATCAAGAATTTATTTGTTGTCGGCATTCTCGATTTTCTATATAATCAACAACATGAGAGTGAGATATGCAATATTTTTTTGGTATTGTATTTATTGCATCAGATATTATACCTATTGATCCTTTAATTTCTTGAATCGCCTTATCCGAAAGAAATGTTGCATTAGCACTACAATATTTTTTATAGATACGTCCCATATCAACCACGTAAATGTTCTGCTTTGCAAAAATATTTTTATTATCACAAATAAAGAAAAGTTTCGAAATGTTTTGAAATATTAGTTATACATATAGGGTCTTTGCCTTGAAAATAGGGTTCCGAGGTCCCAAAACCAAAATTGAGATTTTTGCTAAATCTTAATTTATGAAACACAAAGCTCATTTTGTGCAAAATTTA